GTCGTGACACTTTCAACACAGTAAGAATTTCTTGAACGTTTTTTTTTTCCAGTAACAGTCCAAACTCAAATAACGTAGGGGGGGGGGGGCTAACACGGGTGACGACGCATCTGTATAATCTGCGGCAAACCGTTTCAGGGTGTTCTGTACCATAAAAATAGTACAGAGATTCTTTTGTTCTTTAGACCAAATTGATTATTAAAAAGATTGAAGAATACGCATGTTAATTTCTCTAGAACGATGTACCTCTGACGAAGACATGAGATCTCCGACCTCTAGTTCCCACTTGGTATGGGTCTTCACGAAGACCATGTACTAAGATCAGCGTCCTGGTATGGTAAAGTTTTAACCTGGTCACCATCCTCTCTCAGAATACCGACGCCTGCATGGCCTGGGATTAGAACCCGGGACTTGTGCTCCACAAACGGGATTCTGAATCACTAGACTAGCTGGGGCACGATGGCCTGGTATTCTTTATAGGTAAACCTTATATGTATTTTAGTCTATTTTGTAGATATGCGGTGCAAAAATTACTAATCCTGAATGAGCTGCATATGTACTGTATTGTGGAAATCCTCTCAAATAAATACATGTAGGGAAAATAGTGAGAGTGACATTTGTCGATCCCGTCCACTTGATTTCTTTGTGCCCTGAATTCCACTCCAGTACAACTCACTGCAGAATGGTCCCTATTCTACCGTGGCCGAGAAGTACAACGTATTGTAACATTATTAAAGTATAGCATATAGATTGTTACTATGAATATCAGGGTCGGAAAGTTTTGTCTGCAAGTCAATATGTGTTACTTTCTGACCCTAATATACATAAGGTTAGTAAGAATGCCTAGGTGTTACACTGCAATAGTTGTACAATACGCTGTACCTCTTGGTCTCGGTACTATTCACTCTAACGTCCGTTCCACACTGGAGGTTTCCGAACAACCGCACACGTATCTGGCATCAGGCAATAAAGGTACAAACACTGCAGGTTCTACATTGTAAACATGTAACATTTCCCACAGCAGGTCGGTATAAACGGACGGAGGCAGCTGGAAATGGGTTTAGCGGCCCGCTGCCTGCATTCACATTTTGTGCACGTGCGGTAACAGATTATGACCCGATTTGTGAGCAAATACAGATATTTCGTAAATACGTGGGTTGTTTGTGCGGAGATGGAAAAGCTGCATAAAACACCCACATAACTCAGGTCACGTATTTTATCTACATACATGTGTCCCCTTTCTCACCTGCAGATATTTAAATTGGCACTACCTACAAATAGTTGACTTATTCTGTACATTCATATTAGACTTTTTAAAATGGCGATTCCCAATAACTAACGGCTTTACTCTAATTACGGAGGGCACTTTTACATAATCGAATGTTTTTCAGTACCTTTGCTATGTTGGGATGTGACATGTCCCCATATATAACTGTCATCATAGCCACTGACTGTTCGTAATACCCGATGGCTTTACTACGGTCACCGAGTATTTCCAAACATTTACCAATATTATTAAGTGATGCGGCAATGTCAGGATGTGGCGATGATTCGCCATATATAATTTTCCTCATATTGAGTGCCTGTTGGAAATAGGTAAGAGCTTTCCTCTTATTACCAAGGTTAGTCCAACATGCCCCAATGTTGTTTAGTGCTGCAGCAATGTCGGGATGTGGCTTTCTTTCGCCATAGATAGCTTTCCTCATCTTCAGTGACTGTTCGTGATAACTGATAGCTTTCCTCTGATCACCAAGGGCACTCCAACAGTTACCAATGTTGTTTAGTGATGAAGCAATGTCGGGATGTGGCGTTGTTTCGCCATAGATAGCTTTCATCATCGTTAGTGACTGTTCGTAATAACTGATAGCTTTCCTCTGATCGCCAAGGTGACTCCAACATAACCCAATGTTGTTTAGTGATGAAGCAATGTCGGGATGTGGCGTTGTTTCACCATAGATAGTTTTCCTCATCTTCAGTGTCTGTTCGTTAAAACTGATAGCTTTCCTCTGATCGCCAAGCTTATTCCAACAGTTCCCAATGTTGTTCAGTGATGAAGCAATGTCGGGATGTGGCGTTGTTTCACCGTAGATAGCTTTCATTATCGTTAGTGACTGTTCGTAATAACTGATAGCTGTCCTCTGATCGCCAAGGTAACTCCAACAAGCTCCAATGTTGTTTAGTGATGAAGCAATGTCGGGATGTGGCGTTGTTTCTCCATAGATACCTTTCCTCGTCTTCAGTGAGTGTTCGTAATAACTGATAGCTTTCCTCTGATCGCCAAGGTCACCCCAACAGTTACCAATGTTGTTCAGTGATGAAGCAATGTCAGGAAGTGGCGTTGTTTCACCATAGATAGCTTTCCTCATCTTCAGTGACTGTTCGTAATAACTGATAGCTTTCTTCTGGTGGCCAAGCTTATTCCAACAGTTCCCAATGTTGTTTAGTGATTTAGCAATGTCGGGATGTGGCGTTGTTTCACCATAGATAGCTTTCATCATCTTCAGTGACTGTTCGTAATAACTGATAGCTTTCTTCTGGTCGCCAAGGTCGCTCCAACATTTCCCAATGTTGTTTAGTGATGAAGCAATGTCGGGATGTGGCGTTGTTTCGCCATAGATAGCTTTCATCATCTTCAGTGACTGTTCGTGATAACTGAAAGCTTTCTTCAGGTCGCCAAGGTCGCTCCAACATTTCCCAATGTTGTTTAGTGATGAAGCAATGTCAGGATGTGGCGTTATTTTGCCATAGATAGCTTTCATCATCTTCAGTGACTGTTCGTAATATCTGATAGCTTTCTTTTTATCACCAAGCTCACTCCAACAGTTTCCAATGTTGTTTAGTGATGAAGCAATGTCGGGATGTGGCGATGTTTCGCCATAGATAGCTTTCATCATCTTAAGTGACTGTTCGTAAAAACTGATACCTTTCTTCTGGTCACCAAGGTCACTCCAACATGTCCCAATGTTGTTTAGTGACGAAGCAATGTCGGGATGTGGCGATGTTTTGCCATAGATAGCTTTCTTCATCTTCAATGACTGTTCGTAAAAACTGATAGCTTTCTTCTGGTCGCCAAGGTCTCTCCAACATGCCCCAATGTTGTTTAGTGATGAAGCAATGTCGGGATGTGGCGTTGTTTCGCCATAGATAGCTTTCGTCATCTTCAGTGAGTGCTCGTGATAACTGATAGCTTTTCTCTGATCGCCAAGTTCATTCCAACATACCCCAATGTTTCCAAGTAACGAGGCAAATGTGGGTCCATCAATAGTATTCCCAATGCTACGTGCCCGATCGTAGTAGCTCTTTGCTATCTCATAGTCACCGCGCATGTAAGAGGCCCTGCCTAATTCATAAAGTATTTCGAACTGTTTTTCCTCGTCACCAGCCGAATCTTTTAGAGCTGCCTCCAGGTGACGTCTGGATGTGTCTAACTGCAACAGCTGTAGTGTTATTTTGCCCTTTGTTAGAGATGAGGTGTCAAAGATGGCTGTTGGGAACATTTTTGTCGTCGGATTTGCGACTGTATACGTAATGCATCGTTTTAGTGGGGTGGCTGTATAGTAGTATCTGAACAACATTTTAGAGTCTGGTATGTAGAAAACTGACTCAACAATAGTGTCATCTACGTCATGATTGTCAAGTTGGACTTTTATCTCCGTGAGAGGAGACAGTGTGTCCTTCTGTCCTCCGTTGGCAATGTACGTTCTTAACCGTAGCTCCGCTGAGATGCTGATCAGTACAGTCAAGTGATGGGCATCTTCGTGACTGATCCGCTGTGTCTTGTGTAACTCTTCTATCATTCCCCACACACTGGGGATCGTGATACCACAGCAAATACTCAACACATCAACGGCCACGCTTGGAAAACGGTAGATTTCTTTCTTGACATTGAGAAGTTGGGCCGTTGGTACAGCATTTTCTATTTCGCGAATGTTATCCTTCTCCTTCAGTATTTGCATTGCTGACAGCCGTGACAGAGCAGGGGAACGGTCTACACATTGGTTGACTCTGTTCGTATAATCATCCACCAAGGACTCGTCCCCTGTCAAGTAGCTTACCCGTCTGAGGATGTCTGACAGGTGATAGCCTTCCGCCAGGGCGATGTGCAGATGCTGATATCCGGCCAACTTGGCAGGAGTCTGGATGAGACCAACCGGAGGTTTGCTTTTGGTTTCGTCTCTTCCAAACGGAGTCTTAGAAGCCCATGGCATGAAGCCGTCGAAGGCGAAGCCGCGATGTGTGACGGAGTCGTAGAACCAGTCTTTCTCTGGGTCTTCTGAGAGAAAGTCGTTGAGTGACGGGATGGCCATGGCTGGGAGGATGGTTTCCCCAAGATTGATGACTTTTAGATGTAAGTAGTGTGTGAGGTTTAGGAAGTACCTCCGTGCATCATCATTATCCTTCCTCTCCTCAATCAGAATGGCGAACTCCAGGTCGGAGTACGGCGTAACCAGTTCTGTGGCCTGTGACCCCATCCCGATAAAAGCGTACTTACAGGGAGGAGGTCCGAGTTTGGCGATGCATTCATCTGTCAGTACTTGGATAAACTCTTGTCTTCCAACTGCGATGCTCTTGAACAAGTTCTTGATTGCGTCAGCTCGTTTGATCTCCACCTCTCTCACGACGGGATCGTCTTCATCATACTGATAAGGGTTGTGTTCCTGATGAACTGCTTCGAGCTGAGATTTTGCACAGGCGCGCGAGTTGTCCAGTTCCTTTCTGTGATCTAACGCGCTGCTATACGGACACGGTTCACAGTCAAGGTTACAGGTGTTTCTAAGAAACTGCCTTTCTGTTTCTTGCAGTTTTGTTACCATGATTTGTTTGTCTCCATCTGTTCTGGCCATGGAGGCGTTATACAGAGCTGCCGCCTGTGTGAATTTCCTACCTTCTCCTGTCCGCTTACCTCGCTCGACGTAGACGTCACCAAACCTGCACAGACAGTCGGCTTCTTTAGCCTTTTTGGGTTTACTGCGATCTGTAGGTAGGAATTTAAGCCGATTGAGAAAACTTGTGCATGTTTTATACTTAATTTATTACAATGATTACGTTTAAGGATCACATATAACACTTAACCCTTTTATAGAATTCAATTTACTCTTTAGTCAAATGTCTTAAAGGTTATACTATGAACGATGTAACAATGCCAAATCTTCCATGATATAGGGAAAATTCTGACTGAATTGTCAGTGAAAAATTTATGTATGAATGAAAAGTTTCTAACGGACCGTGAACGAGCTTTAGGGCAGCCGCTAGGTTCTGCTCTGCTGCGTCCAGGTCTCCATTTCTCACGTCACGGTCTGCCGTCTGGATGTACCTGCGGTAGGATCTGAACAACGAAATGTTGATGTGAAACAAACGTACCTCACAAAAGTTATAATAATATTGCGCTACAAAAGCAATAGCATGCCAAGCAACAACAAGTCTTATCACAAGTGACGCGGGACCGCCATCTTGAAAAGTTTGACCGACTCAAACAAGCCAATTCACGACAACAACAGGATTTAGACGTGGATTTATCCGGCACACAGCTGAAGAAATGGGTAGTGAACATCTCCAAGAAGTCGCTAACCGACCACCAGACCGGGGTACTGCAGAAGGGCCTGAACTTTGCCGTCACGCCAGACAAGGTTCCGGTGGAAGACTTCGTGGTGGCTACGGAAAGTGCGTGCCTGCACTTGTCCCCAAGCAGCGCGGAGCAGTTACGGTCGGAGGTGGCAGGCATCCTGAGAACAGCGAAACCCCCGAAACCCAACATCACAAAACAGGAAAGAGAAGCCCTCAAAGAACTGAAGAAGGAAAAGGACTTGCTAATTCTCCCGGCGGACAAAGGGAAGGCAGCGGTGGTCATGGACAGAACAGACTATGAAGAAAAGGTGAGTGGGATGTTAGCGGACGAGAAAACATATGAAAAACTACGTTCGGACCCAACACAGAAATACAAGAGAAAGCTAGTTGCCATTTTAAAACGTCTCAAGGAAAGTAGTAAGATCACAGAAGAACAGTATAAACATTTATATCCTACAGCGGAAAACGTACCGAGAATGTACTGTACTCCCAAAATACACAAACCTGGAAATCCGTTGCGGCCGATAGTTGATTATACAGGTTCGATAGGGTACAATACGTCCAGGGCCTTGGCAGATCTGTTAGCACCTTTGGTGGGGAAGTCAGCACACCATATTAAGAACTCAAAGCATTTAGCAGAAGAAATGTCCACTATATTAGTAGAGGAAGATGAGATGTTCTTGTCCCATGACGTTATCTCCCTTTTTACTAATACCCCCATCCCAGAGACACTTGACATCATCAGAAGAAGACTCCAGGGGGATAAAGAACTGAAGAACCGGACGAACCTAGAGGTTGAGGACATCATAGAACTTTTATCTTTTATTGTCACAACCACTTATTTTAGTTTCCGGGGGGATATTTACCAGCAGAAATTTGGGACAGCTATGGGTAGCCCGGTGTCCCCAGTGTTGGCCAACCTGTTTATGGAATGGCTGGAACAGGAAGCCATAGCGACAGCGCCCATTTCCTGTAGACCCAAGCTCTGGAAGAGATATGTGGACGACGTGATGGAGATAGTGAAGAAGGGTGTCCATCAAGATCTCACAGACCATCTTAACAACATAGATCCCACAGGAAGTATTCAGTTCACACACGAGGAGGAGAAAGACAACACATTGCCGTTCCTGGATACTCTCCTGGTACGAAAGGGGGATGGCACAGTAAAGCTTCTAGTGTACAGAAAAAGTACACATACAGACCAGTATCTCAACTTCAAGTCCCACCATCCACTGCACCAGAAACTGGGAGTCATCCGCACCCTCATGGACAGATGTAACTCGGTGGTGACAGAGGAGGAGGACAAGGAAAGAGAAACACAGCACATCAGAAGAGCCCTTGTCCGATGTGGGTACCCGGAATGGACCTTTCGGAAGGTGGAACGGAAAGAGAAGAGGTCAAAGCAGACAGAGAAGAACAAGAAAGAGGGGGAGAAAAGTAGGGCCATGGTGATTATCCCTTATGTGAAAGGAGTAACCGAACCACTAGAAAGGGTATTCAGGAAACACCAGGTATCCACAGCAGTGAAACCAAAAACAACATTGAGGAACCTGCTTGTCCACCCCAAGGACAAGATGGGGGACCACGTGAAAACAGATTGCGTATATAAAATACCATGCAAAAGCTGCGATCAAGTGTATATTGGAGAAACTGGCAGGACCTTTGGCAAAAGACTGGAAGAACACAGAAAAGAGGCAGACAACAGTGAAACCGTAAGATATACACGCTCCCAGAAACAACAAGCACAAAAAGAAGAGAAGAAATCGGCAGTCACAGACCATGTTGCCAGAAACAATTGTGTGATAGACTGGGAGGGTGCCAGGGTCATAGATAGGGAGGACAACAGAAGAATCCGTTGGATTAAAGAAGCAGTCTGGATAAGGAAGTCTACCCCAGTGATGAACCGGGACGAGGGGGGATACAAGCTCAGCCACGTTTGGGATTGCATTCTCGCCGCAAAAGCGCCACCTACTTTGGCGTTAAATAGCGGCGAATTGCAGAACTCCAGTCAGAAGCTCTGAGGAAGGTGTCTGATAGACATCGAAACGTAAGCAGGTGAGAACCTTACTGGTTGTGTAAGAAGAAAATTCTAAACCCATTGGCAAGTCTTATCACATTATAAGAGTAAAAATAGAAGCACTAACATGTCGTCATCAACTTGACTGGTGGTTCCGTCGCTAGAGGGCGCAGCTGAGAAGGTAGGGAAGTGGCCCTTCCGTCCTCTCACGTCTTGTTGCCGTTGCGTACGTGACTTCTGTGAGTACCATATGCAGTTTATGATTAACAGGTGGTCATGTAATCCAGCGATGGCTAACCATCCGTGGATTTGACCTACGCAAACTGAGACTTAGTTGAATCTTCAGTCTTCTATTGTAGTTTTTTTTGTAAGTGAATGTTATGTTTCGTGTTAATATGTTTTATAGTGTAATGTTTATCTTTATGACTCTAGGAAGACAAAGTATACACTGCACTTACTAATGGAGATCTGACAAATAAACAAATGACTAAACAAATAGACCCTTTAATGGAATATACATATAATATTAAATACAAAGTATTTGGACAGGAATAGAAAAGGCTATTATTGTTTAATTTGGACATCGCCAAACTACAAGTGCGAAGTAAGACACATTCCATCCAGCTATCACCGTACACATAACCACCGACCAAAAAATATAGGTACATTCACAGCTTCTTGCACTACTCTGTCCTCAAAGATTCAATATAAACTCCACCCATACATTTCTTCAGAGAATTAAGCAATGAAGTGAAGGAAAAAAGAGAATTTGGTGTCATTCCAGCAGAAAAAGGCTGTTGACCTGCTTTGACACGATAAACCTTTTCACCAATAGCGCCGCGAAATGCATGACGGGATATTTCCAGATAAACAAACCTAGTCGAAACCCGGAAGTGTAGTTACACTAGCGAGTGGTGACTAAGCAAAATAGTTCTCTCACCTTGTTTCTCGTCGTGGCGATGTCTTGCCTGATTTTTGCGGTGTGCAGTAAGCGGTGAACAATGACAACTGTTCCATGAACGTTGTGACACCGCGCCAGTGCCCTGTTGTACAGAGCAGTAGCTCTGGTCAAGTTTCTAGTGTCTCCAGTTTCTGTTCCTCTTTTCAGGTACACGTCACCCAGACTCTTGATCGCTTCTGTTTCTAACATGCTGTTGTCGTTTACTATCGCCTCTACCATCACCTGTGCGTATCCAACCAGCAAAGAGTCTGTGTTACCTCCGGTAGCCCGTCTCTTGTCCAGGGCTTGAAACTTTGCCGCTACCTTTGCAGGTGTCGCCGTCTCCTTGTCTTCAGTTGGCTGTTCCTTACTCTGTGACGACACCCCTCGTAAAAGCCTCTCCGTGTAGTGGTAGCGGTGTTCTATACCATCTGCCTGTTCCTCATGGTAACACCGCACCATAGCAGCCAGATAAAGCGCCAAGGCTGTGTTGAACTTCCCCACGTCCTTCCCGAGTCTTCCCTTCTCCACGTTCACGTCACCCAGAGTTTTGAGCAGCTCCACTTCCGCCAGCCTGTCCGTGTCGGCCATGGCGTCCACCAGGGCACGGAGGTAGCCTGTCTCCGCCTGGGCTAGTCCGTACCTCCTGCCCTTCTCGTCCGCCTCACGGAGTTTCTCACACACCCGCAACATGGCGGACACTTGCTACGCTAAAAAACGGTCCCTAAAAGTCCTTGTCTTCGCGGGAACACATTATCTTTATGCCCCTGACTTGAACAGGCACAGGTTTCGCACTGCTTGTGTCAACATTACGTCATCTGCCAATGCAAAGGTCAAAGGTCCAATACAAAGGCTTTGGAAATACCCGTAAACATATCAGGTAACCTGCCTACCTGCCTAAGACTTTAGTGCAAGGGCCAGTCCGTACCTCCTGCCCTTCTCATGTTTATGGCAAAATCATGTAGCGAAATCACTATATATAGGTAATCCAAACGTTATGGAGTCCCAGGACTCTGCATACGCGTGCGGTAACCTGCCTACCTGCCTAAGACTTTAGTGCAAGGGCAAGGGCCAGTCCGTACCTCCTACCCTTCTCATGTTTATCCCAAAATCATGTAGCGAAATCAATATATGTAGGTAATCCAAACGTTATGGAGTCCCAGGACTCTGCGCGCTGCGGAAGATTCTAAAGCAAAGAAACGACATACTAAGTAGTTTGCATTCCCTTCATAATGGACCGTTCCATAAGCCACGCCCCCCTTAGCAACGCTAAGCGGTGTTTATTGAGGCCGCACAACACAATACACCAGTTTATTTCACCGTCAGACCTCCGTTGCCATGGCAACGGCCACTATGACCGTCCACTATGCTTTACAATGGGAGTTCCCCACTGGCCCAAGAACGCGTATCCCTCCCCCCTTTTTTTGCCGTAAAAACGGCTTACACTAACTACAAATCACTCAGAACGTGAGAGGATACAACAATGATACCCGCTAGCCAGAAAAAGTCGGCCGGAATAGTAAATTTGACCTGAAAAGAAGACCATTAAATGGCCCGTCATTAGGGCCTTGTACGGGACCTAGCCCTACGACAGGTGCCGAAGTGCAAAGTTGCCGAAATCTCAGCAACCGTTTGGATTTGTGGAATAAAATTTGGCCGAGTTTCACATCTTTACTAGTTTTATCGAAAAAAAATCAAGGTCAAGTTCGTTTAAGGCCGCACAACACAGTATTCATGGGCGAACCCCGTAGTCAAAAGTAGTCCGGGCACAAAGTAGTGCTACACAATACTAGGGAAGGGTGCAGAGATTGTTTTGTGCATGGCATCGAGACAGAACCTGTGATAAATGTTAGAGGAATGCGTCAGTTTTGAGACTGTAAAAGTTGGATTATGGTGCGTGTTGAGTCGGCGTAGATTTGCGCTTGGATACTTGTCCCGCCTAGTACTGTGCGTCGGCTGCAGTCCCATGACCTCCGCAGTGGCGCTAATAAAAGAGGGCGCGAGAAGAGAACTAGCCGGCAAATTCAAGCTCATTTTCACATATTTTGTACACTCTACCCTGAAATTAAACATATCAAAATTCTGAACCTTGCTTGTGCACCCTAGTATGATTTTCCGTGAGTCGAAGTGAGTCACTTTGGGGTCCTTAACTATAGAAATCCCCATAGGGCTAATACTGTGTTGTGCCGCCTTGAGCCTGTTGCTCTTGGCCGTGTGACGGTCATGATCCTGTGAGTTGTGGCGTTCTGACAGCGTAAATCCGCCGGTATGTGCCTCCAGTCCGCGGCAGGCTAATGGACCGTTCCATAAGTCACGCCCCCCTTAGCAACGCTCTAGCAACTCGAACACCTCCGTCAAAATCAGCGCGGGAAGGGCCGTACCGACTGCCGCCGCCAGAATGTCGGATTTGCAGCCCAACTTTACGGTCGATTTTTCGGCAGCGAAAAACTCTCCCAGGAGACGAAAAAATTGGTTAAGCTATATTTGTTGAACGGTACATCCGCAGAGTAGAATTATTTTAGGAGGGGACAGAGGTAGCTTCAGTGAGAGCAATTTTTTTTCGCTCAATACAGACGCGGGATTGGCCGGATAGCGTCACACGGTAGGTGGACAAGAATGCCCGGTTGCTGACTAACAGCCGATACATGTGTGAAACAGAGTACGTTTATCTGTAACAGGTTTTCCACGGCATTTGCTGCATGCATCACAGCTGCATACAAGCTCGGGAAAAAAAACGAAATGGGAAATAAAAACTCACGGGGACTCACGAGGGAGGGCGCAACTTATAAAGGGATTTGTGGTACAAGTAGAAAAATAAGCACGCAAACACGGACATAAACAATAGCGATAGGTTATGAACAAATGGAAGAATAACAGAACGTCCTTAATCAACTTGAAAGTGCATGCAATGTCACAAATTCAGTTTGACATGTAAAACAAGCAGTTTTTATCTAGCAGACATCAACTCAGTTTGCTGCTTTTAGATTTCCCGCGCTGAGTTTGACGGAGGTGTTCGAAATAGAACTGGGATTCGAAATAGGATTCGATGCGTTCGATCTGGAACGGTCCATTATGTCATACATAAAAAGTTATCATAATACTTACATGTTCTTATTTAAAGGAGGCCTTCTTCATACCGCCTGGGTATTTGACAGTACAGCAGTGGATCATGCATAAGTTTGCATGGACTTCATGAATAAGTATGTAATATATGCCTAAAGCTTTTCATTATCATCATATATTACTTAGAAATACATGTATTACCTATATGTTCTGTTGTGTGGAGGACATATTTCGTACCGCCTGTTTTGTGTCATGAACATGATTGTGTATAGTTAGTTGTCCTAAAATAACGAGAAATAGAAGAACGGCAAGTGGCGACAGTTCGTCACAGCCAGGCAAACACAACGGCAAACAAAATGCCAGCTGCAAAATCCCATCATATACTTACTGTTTATTACTACTATCATATCTTACATAGAACTCTTGTTTTACCTACATGCTCGGTTGTGGGAACGACCTGCTTCGTACCTCCTGGACTTGAGAGCTGCACTGGTCATGAGCAAGTGTGTAGAGTTACAGGTGAGGAATAGGGCAATGTAACGTGGCGACATTTTTTTATTCATCAAAAACATCAAACATAACAAGGACAGTGTGGCGCTGCACTAAAGTTTACAACTTATATTATTAACAGTGCCACGCAACAAAAAACATTTAACGTTTAAATACACAAAGTTGACATACCAGTGCGCCGACAGTTTGTCGCAGACAGGTATTACTGAACACAGCGGCAAACAAAATGCCGACGACGAAGCCACATCACCAGTTGTAAGGATCCGGAGAAAGCTGGGGAAACGTGTGGACAAAGTTGACATACCAGTGCGCCGACAGTTTGTCACAGACAGGTATTACTAAACACAGCGGCAAACAAAATGCCGAATGCGAAGTCACATCACCAGTTGTACGGGTCCGGAGAAAGCCGGGGAAACGTGTGGATGTGGGGACCCGGATGTGGGTCTGGTTAAACAGCTGTGCCTCGTGCACACGTGACGTGTCGGTCTCTTCTGGCAACGGCTTTCAGGTCGGTTAGCCTCTAACCAGGCCTGCCTGAGGGGTATGGATGGTAGAATATCGGCGAATAGTAGCCTCTACCATCCCTGTCTAAGGGGTGTGGACTAGTGGTAGAATGTGGGCGAAGAAAGTAGCCTCTACCAGCCCTGTCTGAGGGGGTATGGATGTTAGAATATGGACAAGGAAAGTAGCCTTCACCAGGCCTACCTAAGTCTAATGGGTCATGGATAGTAAAATAGCAGCAAAAATAGTAACCCTCTTCAGACCTGGATAGTAAAATACTGACAAAAAGGTAGCCTCCACCAAGCCTGCCTAAGAACTGGATAGTATAATATTTGTAAAAATAATAGCCTCCATTAAGCCTGACTAAGAGGTTATGGATAGTAGAATATCTGTACAAATAGCAGTCTTCACTAAGCCTGCCTGATGATGTATGGATGGTAGAATATTGGCAAAAATAATATCCTGCGCCAGACCTTCCTAAGGGGTTATGGATAGTAGAATATCTGCAAACATAATACCCTCTACCAGGTTATGGATAGTAGAATGTTGGCAAAATAGTAGCCTCCACCCGGGCCTGCCTAAGGGGTTACGCCATATTGGATAGTAGAATATAGAGTAAAATAGAAGCCTCCACGAGGCCTGCCTAAGGGGTTGTTTGTTTTTGTACACGTGAGGTCACAAGTTATTAGCCATTTAGGTAACATTTCTCATCCAATGCAGATATTTCCCGACTAAAATACATGTACTATGGTACAGGTAACCATGTAAACACCTAAAACATAAAGAAATGACAATAAACACATGAATCTGTTATATTATAGTTATATCAGGCATTCACAAGTAGCCGACTAGTCAATTTCTGCGATTTCTGAAAACTAAACGCTTTATTCTAATCACGGATGGCATTTTTACTTGCTGCGCATGATCTAATGTTATTCAGTACTATTGCTATATTGGGATGTGCCGGGTTGTCCCTGTGGATAACGTTCATCATATTCAGTGACTCTTCGTAATACTTCATAGCTTTCCAATAATCACCGAGTTTGTCCCAACAGTTCCCAATGTTGTTTAGTGATAAAGCAATGTCGGGATGTGGCGTCGTCTCGCCATAGATAGCTTTCATCATCTTCAGTGACTCTTCGTAGTAGCTGATAGCTTTCCTCTGATCGCCAAACTTATTCCAACATACCCCAATGTTGTTTAGTGTTAAAGCAATGTCTGGATGTGGCGTTGTCTTGCCATAGATAGCTTTCATCATTTTCAGTGACTGTTCGAAATAACTAAAAGCTTTCATCTGATCGCCAAGTTCATCCCAACAGTTTCCAATGTTGTATAGTGATGAAGCAATGTCGGGATGTGGCGTTGTTTCGCCATAAATAGCTTTCTTCATTTTCAGTGACTGTTCGTAATAACTGATAGCTTTCCTCTTATCGCCAAGCTCCTTCCAACATGCCCCAATTTTGTTTAGTGATGAAGCAATGTCGGGATGTGGCGTTGTTTCCCCATAGATAGCTTTTCTCATCTTCTGTGACTGTTCGTGATAACTGATAGCTTTCCTCTGATCGCTAAGGTAACTCCAACATGCCCCAATGTTGTTTAGTGATAAAGCAATGTCGGGATGTGGCGTTGTTTCACCATAGATAGCTTTCGTCATCTT